TTAAAGACCTCCAAAGAAGGAGACTCCACCACACTCCTTGGCAGCAAATTCCACTGTCAAACAGCTCTTACTGTCAGGAAGTTCTTCCTAATGTTTAGGTGGAATCTTCTTTCTTGTAGTTTGGATCCATTGCTCCGTGTCCGCTTCTCTGGAGCAGCAGAAAACAACCTTTCTCCCTCCTCTATGTGACATCCTTTTATATATTTGAACATGGCTATCATATCACCCCTTAACTTCCTCTTCTCCAGGCTAAACATGCCCAGCTCCCTTAGCCGTTCCTCATAAGGCATCGTTTCCAGGCCTTTGACCATTTTGGTTGCCCTCCTCTGGACACGTTCCAGTTTGTCAGTGTCCTTCTTGAACTGTGGTGCCCAGAACTGGACACAGTACTCCAGGTGAGGTCTGACCAGAGCAGAATACAGTGGCACTATTACTTCCCTTGATCTAGATACTATACACCTATTGATGCAGCCCAGAATTGCATTGGCTTTTTTAGCTGCCGCGTCACACTGTTGGCTCATGTCAAGTTTGTGGTCAAACAAGACTCCTAGATCCTTTTCACATGTACTGCTCTCAAGCCAGGTGTCACCTATCTTGTATTTGTGCCTCTCATACAATGCTTACTACTCATTCAATATCACTCATTTGTTTCTACCACACACCCCACCTCATCAATCCAATCGTTCCACTATGTCCCACATCAGCCACCACCAGTCACTCCTTCTGCTCAATAAAAATGTACCCAGGAGACAATATAAACCATTCACTGACAGAACCTTATATATAAAGACACAAATTGCCAGCAATCAGTCCCACAGATGTACTAACTGAAATCTGCCTCTCGTCCAAGTTACTGTCCCTCACCCAGGACCCTCACCAAGAAGTGCCTTAAGACAGCTCAACTCACACAAAAAGCCCCTTTGCCTCAGAAGTGCTGGTCTTATACAGTGGTACCTCAGGTTAAGTACTTAATTCGTTCTGGAGGTCTGTTCTTAACCTGAAGCACCACTTTAGCTAATGGGGCCTCCTGCTACTGCTGCACCGCCAGAGCCCGATTTCTGTTCTCATCCTGAAGTAGTTCTTAACCCAAGGTACTATTTCTGGGTTAGCGGAGTCTGTAACCTGAAGCGTTTTTAACCCAAAGTACCATTGTAGTTCTTTTGCTGGATAGCAGCAGTCAGTGACTTCTGGTTCCACTCATATCCTGCACAGTTCTGACCCAACAAGGCTATCAAGGAGGTGGTAGGACTTATCAGGGAGCAAGGAGGGCAGGTGTTATTTTCTCTTTCCCCCATCCTTTCTGCTTACCATCCAGGCTAGAAGTTTTTAAGTGAGCCTCTTGATGAGGAAGGCAAATGACAGCAGGCTGGTTTAATAGTTCCATGGCTAGATGACAGTCTTCAGCAACAGCTGGTTCCTCTCACTTGCTGCCTAGTTTTGCTCCAACAGACTATCAGGGAGCAAGGAGGCAGGGCCAGCCCACCTATGAGGCAAGGTGAAGCTACTGCCTCAAGCAACAGGATCCACAGAGGCAGCAGATCTTGATGTACATCTTCACTCACCCCTTCTTATCTGCTGGGGAGGGGAATCATGATGTGGTTTGCTTCAGGTCCAAAAATGTCTTGGGCCAGTCCTATGAGAAATACAGGTATTGTTATCTTGCTCCTGCATTCCTTGTTGCTAACCACCTGGGCTAAAAGTACTAAAGCCAGTGCCTTCCTCCTCGGGAGTGGGGAACCTTTGGCCCTCTAGAGGTTGCTTACCTCCAAGACCCATCAACCCTAGCCAACATGTCTAAATGGCCTGGGATCATGCCATAAGCAGAGACCATATAACACCGGTTCTAAAGGATCTGCACGGGCTCCCAGTTCATTTCCGAACACATTTCAAAGTGTGGGTGTTGACCTTTAAAGCCCCAAACAGCCTTGGCCCTGTATACCTGAAGGAGCGTCTCCACGCCCATCGCTCAGCCCGGAAACCGAGGTCCAGCTCCAAGGGCCTTCTGGTGGTTCCCTCACTGCAAGAAGTGAGGTTACAGGGAACAAGGCAGAGGGCCTTCTCGGCAGTGGCACCCTCGCTGTGGAATGCCCTCCCATCAGATGTCAAGAAGATAAAGTACTACACTACTTTTAAAGATATCTGAAGACAGCCCTGTTCAGGAAAGTTTTTAATGTTTGATGTTTTATTGCAGTTTTAATATTTTGTTGGGAGCTGCCCAGAGTGGCTGGGGCAACCCAGTCAGATGGGCAGCATATACCGGTAATAATAATGATACAGTGGTACCTTGGTTTGCAACCGTTTTGGATTACATCCATTTTGGATTACAACCACGTCAAACCCGGAAGTGATTGTCCCTTTTTTTTGGACTACAACCCCCTTTTTTGGGCCTACAACCCCTTTTTTTGGATTACAACCCATTGGCGAAAGCGCGCCTTGGGTTACAACCTGTTTTGGCTTACAAACGGTCCTCCGGAATGGATTATGGTTGTAAACCAAAGTACCACTATAATAATAATAATTTTAATAATAATGACAAGAATAACAAGAATAATAATTCCCCACATCTGATCTAGCTCAAAATCTTGAGAGTGTTTTAAAGGGCTAAGTCTAGCATATGCTTGAATTGCATTAGGTTTGTGGTTTTGTTTTTTATGGAAAACACGGGGAAACAACGTTCAGATACATTTGGAGCCAGGCTTCCTAATGGGGATTTATGCTATAGGATATCAGACATCCCTTTCCATTTTTATTGTTATAATTTGTCTAAAATAAAATAAAATAAAAAGTAAAATAAATAAAATAAAATAAAATAAATATAGCTCATAGGCTTATCATTCCTCCCTCTCTCTCTCCTGATCCCTCCTGCCTTCTATCCTCCCCTCAACTTTCTTACATAGCTCAGCGATGTCAAGCAACTCGCCTGCCAAAAAGGGAGGGGAGCTAGATGCCAAATTACATAGATCAAGAAGGAAAGTGGCCTATCACAAATGCAATAAATTTGCAATGAAATTCCATGTCCTCTGCATGCTCTCCCTGGCATATGCCACTGATTGCTGGATCAGAACCTATAACCGTGATGATTTGTACCTTTTCAACTATTCCACTCAGTCATATCTCATTTAAGAGAGGAGCCAAAAAGCCAACAGCAGCTTAACGTGGAAAGGAAGCAATAGCATGAATAATAATCCTGGCTGGACTGCTTTAAAACATTTATGTTACACATATGGAGTTTTTCACTACTGCTGGCTACACATATAATAGTACAGTGCCAAGTGATGAAATGGTCCCTAAGCATGTGAGACCTTTCCAAATCATGCCAATATAGTTTTGGATACTGAGAATCATCAAATAGGAAGATAGAAACGTGCTTTCAGTTTCACAGTATAGGATTTAAAGATGCCATCCTTTCACACATTTGCTCGTGTGTTATCAGTCTAGGATCCAGGCCATTTTCATCTGAGAACAGAGATAAAAGGAAAACCAGTTTGCATTTTAAGAAAAGAAAAAAAACACACACTTTTCCTTTGGTTCCATATGAAGAATGCCAAAATGGGTGTGGCTGCTCGGTATCTATAAAAAATACCATGCATAATTATTGAATTGTGGCTGATGGAAAAATAATTTTCTTTAGGTATCTCTGAGGTACTACCTTTATTCCCTTTCTATCTGTCAGGGGTTCACTACTGAGAAAGGTTTAGAATTCCACTTTATCTTATTAGTCAATTTTGCCAGGCACAGTCTAAGTTCAGGACTTTTCTCTGCCATGACAACTGATATTATTCTAGCAGAGAGAACTCTCTCACTCATAAACACACACAAAACCACGATTTTATATACTGATGCTACCTGGCTTTTCATTTTAACAACAACTGCTGCTATTAAGTGATTCCTGAAAACTTAAATTTCTCATTGGTTGCAGTGTGAGAATACTGCTTGCTTTTATGGATTACCTGTATTACAGACTCCTCCCATCACCTAGTGATTCACCACCAAGCAACAACGTAAAGTTGATCACTATTGTTGTTGTTTAGTCATTTAGTCGTGTCCGACTCTTCGTGACCGCATGGACCAGAGCACGCCAGGCACTCCTGTCTTCCACTGCCTCCCGCAGTTTGGTCAAACTCATGCTGGTAGCTTCAAGAACACTGTCCAACCATCTTGTCCTCTGTCATCCCCTTCTCCTTGTGCCCTCAATCTTTCCCAACATCAGGGTCTTTTCCAGGGAGTCTTCTCTTCTCAAGAGGTGGCCAAAGTATTACATACCACTACGTTGCCCATATCCAAATAATTTGCACGCCAAGGTTCTGTGCCCACAGTTCCCCATTGATTAATAAACACACCGACATGAGTCTTTAGGATTATGGGCTAAAACAGGCCACAACTTTATAGGTTACAGTTGTGAAGGGTTTGGCTTAGGCGTTGGGTGAAACCAGGCTATATCTTGACTCCTGCCCATCTGCAGGGAGTGGACTAAGGGTAAACCTCCAGAAGGGGGAGCCCTATGACTTACATCAAATAGGGGCACCCCAAGGGGTCCACGTTGTGGTCATGGCATGGCCCTAGCCCACGCCTGGGCTTCAGACAAGATCCACACCCCTGGATCCCTTTAACAGGATACCCTTATTGAGGAGATTGGCTGGGCAGAGGTGACGTGGCCAGGGTTGGAACAGAGGGGGCATCCACCTCACACCCACGAGCAGGGTCACTACAGGGACCCAGATGTCCGGCCGCAACGCTGCCTACTGTAAAAGGTGAGTGGTCATTACAGAATAAGTTCACCTGGGATTGATTTCCAAGTGATTATGTTTGAGGAGGGAAATTTCAAATATCTATTCCAGGTGCTGTGGTCCCAATGATGAAAACTCTGTTCTTCACCCTTCCTTCCTTCCTTCCTTCCTTCCTTCCTTCCTTCCTTCCTTCCTTTATATGAAATTTCAGACATGGTTGCTAACCTCACCATTGGAGTAACATTGAATTTTTTAACCTTTAGGTGTGCTTAAGCCTGTTTCACAAATTGACACGAAAGCATTTCTTTTGCTTCTCATTTTTTCTGATCGTTCTTCTTCTACTTGGCTAATAAGGTCACTAAAGGGAAAACATAAAGACCTTATTAGGGAAGGTGATTCTTCTTTTCATGTTGTTTATGCCCTTTTGTTGTGTTGCTCAGTGTTCAAAGTGCTTTGCCATCAATAGCGGACTTCTTCTCTCAGTGATTCTTTGAAGTGAGAGATGAGGAAAAGACTTGTTGACGACTGCATAATGAACTACAAAGCTTAGACAGGATTCCATACAATGTCCGCCATCTCTTAACATTTGTCTTCTATCTACCACATTACCCCAACACTAAGTGTATAAAATAATTGATATCCATATAGCAGAATTAAAGGGCTCATACAGACCAAAGTTGGAATATGTGAAGGCCTTTTTAAATTCTGAGATGTTGCCTTCTAAAAATAGGCATCATTGTGCCTATTTTGTAGGCTTCCACTGAAACACATTGGCCATTTCACATCTTGCTCCACATATATTTTTCAATAATAATAATAATAATAATAATAATAATAATAATATTCTTTATACCCCGCCCATCTGAATGGGTTTCCCCAGGTACTCTGGGTGGCTTACAGCACATAAAAATTTGTAAAACATTAGACATTAAAAACTTCCCAATACAGGGCTGCCTTCAGATGTCTTCTAAAAGTCAGATAGTTGTTTATTTCCTTGACATCTGATGGGAGGGCGCTCCAGAGGGCAGGCACCACTACTGACAAGGCCCTCTGCCTGGTTCTCTGCCATTTTTATGCTGACTTCTTTATTATTTGCTCTCTTGTTAAAGTTTGTTGGTGATCATCAGTGGTGCTTGAGGAATCCAATCCTTGTGAATTACAGTAAGAAATGACCTCATCTGAATAATAATAATAATAATAACAATAATAATAATAATTTATTATTATTATTATTATTATTATTATTATTATTATTATTATTATTATTATTTGTACCCCGCCCATCTGGCTGGGCTTCCCCAACCACCCTGGCGGGCTTCCAACAAAGATTGAAAATACATTAAAATGACACACATTAAAAACTTCCCTGAACTTCAGAGCCTGCTAGACTAAGGTGCAGATAGTAACTTTAAGCCATTTTACATCAGCAACTATTGCACATATATACAGAATACATGTTCTCACCTGTAGTGCCAAAAATGACAGCAAAAAAGAGAAAGAAATGTATAGAAGCAATGTTAGACCTTAGATAAACTGTACTGCATAATAATAATAATAATAATAATAATAATAATAATAATAATAAATTTATTACTTATACCCCGCCCATCTGACTGGGCCTCCCCAGTCACTCTGGGCAGCTCGCAACAGAGGACCAAAAACAGAACAAAACTTCAAAGATTAAAAACTTCCCTAAACAGGGCTGCCTTCAGATGTCTTCTAATACACTAGTTATGCCATCAGCCTTAGTCAAGAAACATATAGAGATAAACAAGCATTTGCAAATATTTCCCTTCAGTTGGTAGTAGGCAGGTAGGAATAAGAAAGTATATTACAGCCTGCTATCACTATTTAAAAGAAAAGAAAAGATTGAGGTTTTTTGCTTCAATTGCTAAACAAAAATAACATATGCCATAAAACTAATGGTTTCCAGCTGGGGTTTATATTTCTGTCTTGCACAAACTTTGTTTCATTGTTATTTGTTATTTATTCTTATGATCTACCCGAAAAACAAAGAGTTTGAGGGCAGGACTGGTTAATCCCAGGAGGTAATTGTCAGTGCTAAACATCCTCTGCATAATCTGTCATAGAGAAATTAGGAGCAGAATGCTTGTTTTGTACAGAAGTCTGGGATACCATAAACAGTAGGAAACAGTCAGGGACACAATTAAAGGGGAGGCAATTCATCTTTTGGAGTAATCTGTGAAGTGAACACGGGATGTATCACACACTAATTGCTATGCAGAATAAGCAGACAAAAGACAAAACGCTGTAGAAAATGCCTTTTCAGGGAAGTCAAAAACTAGCTAAATAAAATTCTAGTTTATATGTATGGCAAATCATACATACTATGTTCCCATAGTTTTGTTCAAGAGTCAAACTGGGCTGCATATTCCCCCAGCTGTGTAGGACAATTCATCCCTGGGGATAGACAAATTTTAAGATTTTCTGTCTTACTCTTAAATAGGATGCAGTTGAGGAAGGTTATGTGCTTGTTTTTAAACAGCATTTTATACCTGTTCTTTTTTGTGGCATCTATTTTGTGTCAAAGTAAAACTGAAACAAATGGGGCCCATTCAGCTAAATTTTTCAGTCATTACGAGACATATTTAAACCTTGACTTTGGTTTCTGAAGTGGCGTCCAATATGAGCTTGGTTTGTAATGGTTTTACATTATTTCATATTTTCTTACAAAGGAATTAATAATAATAATAATAATAATTAATAAACTTTTATTTATATCCCACCCTCCCCAGCTGAAGTCGGGCTCAGGGCAGCTAACATCAGATACATAACATAAAATCAAACAATAATTAAATTACCTCCTAAAAACATGTCAAAATCAAATTAATATCTAATTAGATGGCTTTCTGCAGGGTTAGGGTTGGGAACAGTAAGTGCTCCACTGAATTGAAATTTCAGCCTGCACGACATAGGAAAATGGCCAAGTAAACAGCTATTTTTGTGGAGGTGGGTCAAGATATTAACTGATATGCATGAAATTTCAAATATAGCTATATAATCCCTAGTGTGGTGAGATAAGACCTTTGGAGCAGGCATTTTCAAAAAAAAGTCCTTTATGAACCGCCCTAGTAGGGCAGTAATTGTTCCTTGATAATTTGTCACACACACCCTTCATGATGGAACCTGGGGTGACCCACCCCCCCACCCCCCTTCCTACGCCCCTGGCTCCTGGTGAATATTTGATAGGGGTGTTGGGGTGAAGTACCATGGTAATGGCTCCCTGTGCTATGCATTTGTATTTAAACATGTATATGCACTCTGCAGATATGGGTCTGGGTAGAAACCTGTCAGCATGATGCTACTCCAAACACATTGCCAGGTATGTGTTGCTGGAAACAAAAAAGGGCTTTCCCCTTGGCCTGCCTTTATATCCCCTCAGTTGCCAAGGGCTTTTGTGACATCACAAGAAACCCACAGCCAATGGTAACAGCTGGAGAGGCATCATCTTCATTGCTTTGATCCTCACAATGGCTGGTGGACCTATCAGTGATTGTGTGCTTGTTTATTCAGGAAGCAGGTGGTGCTGTGGTCTAAACCACAGAGCCTTTTGGGCTTCCCAATCAGAAGGTTGGTGGTTCGAATCCCCACAAAGGGGTGAGCTCCTGTTGCTCTGTCCCAGCTCCTACCAACCTAGTAGTTTGAAAGCACACCAGTGTAAGTAGATAAATAGGTACCACTGCAAAGGGGAGGTAACTGGCGTTTCCTTTTTAAAAAAAATTAATATATTTATTTTATTAAAATAATTCAACATTAATACATACATATTACGAATATACAAACATACATTTCATACAGTCCTTAAAAATATTCATACATAACCACACTCAATCCCACACATATTTCCTTTTCCCACCACCATCCCTCACCCCTCACCCCACCCTTGTGTTAGACTTCCAATCTACTCAATTGCAATTTCTTTCCACTTCTATTTCTTTCACATACTTTTAAACCAACTTTCTACTTTTTTTCTGTTACGCATTGCTATCCATCTGATTTAGTATTTCAGTATTTCTAACGGAACTTGCTCTGGCTTTCGTCACAGTGACCCATTGTGCCAGAAGCTACTGTTAGGTCCATCATGAGATGTCCGCCAGCTTCCAACCACAGATACCAGCTGCCTTCAAGCAAGAAAACTTGCCTTATTATCGCTCCCTAGCATCCCACTGCCAGAGGATTGCCTCCTTCTGTTCACCAGTTTGCCTCCTCCAAGTGAAAGAAACCTGGGCAGTGCTGAATGTCACATCCATTGCCAGGTGTGTCCTGCTGGAAATAGAAAAGGGCTTTCCTCTTGGCCTGCCTTTATATCCACCCAGTTGCCAAGTGCTTTTGTGACATCACAAGAAACCCACAGCCAATGGCAACAGCTGGGGAGGCATCATCTTCATTGATTTGAGCCTCACAATTGTGGACGGACCTATCAGGGATTGTGTGCTTGTTGATTTTGGACATGGGTGGTGCTGTGGTCTAAAACACCAAGGCTCTTGCCCCTGCTAAAAAACCTTGCAGTTTTTGCTGTCACCTGATCGTTTAGATAGGTCTCTTGATCCCTTCCAACTCTGCAATTCTATGTTTTCCAAGATGTGTGTTATGGTAATTCACAAGGGACATGTGTGGTTTAGCAGCATTGCATGGAGCAAAGGAGATTGCCTGGAATATGTTTAATATGAAGTAAAACATTGACTGACCTTCGCTGGGGAAAATGAAAGAGCATGGCAAGTTTATTTTGAACTGATGATGTTACTCCAAACTCCACCCCACACACATTCATTTTGCTTCTGTTTAACCTCTGCAAGAGGCTAATCTGATCACATTGGCTAATGCAGATCATGTTATTTCAGTAAAGCAAACTAATTTGGAATGATTCTGTGCCATCAGATATTTGGGTGACTACTTGACATATTTATGTCCAGAGACATAAATGGGTCATTGCTAGGGAATGACTTTGCTAGCCTCATAAAGTTACAGTTATACCTCAAATGTGTGGGATATGTAACTAGATGCTTAAAAATATTTCATTAACCCCTTTCAAATAGTATCCAAAAATTCCTTAAGGCTCATAAATGTCACACATTTGCACCTATGAATAATCTTCTGTGTACACAGAAATCACTTTTCATCAAGTTTTGCTCCATGATGAGTTTTAAACTGTGAGCATTAATGTCTGGAGACTGAATTGTTTATTATACTGTAAAATGTATGTATGTTTTAATTTCAAGGCCCATTACATAGGACAAGAGAAATGCAACTGGTATTGTAGAATCTCACGGCTTCAGGCTGCAGGAGACTTTTTTTTTAAAAAAAGAAATAAATCTTCAGAGAGCCTCCAGAAGACTGCGTAAATGATGTGAAATGGAACTTGTGAAAGGTCATTGAGCCTGAAAATGATGCATTGAATGTCTATTATCAAAACTTCATGATAATGACCACTTACCCTTTTCATTTACTTACATCAAGTTCATAAAAATCCCCTTTTCACAAGAAACCTAAAAACTAGATTAGACGGAAGACCCTTTTCTTTCAGGTTTTCCTCTCTCCCTCTTAACACATTGGATGTAGTCTATATCCTGCAAAAGTTGGTAGCAAATCTCCTTTTAATCTTCGTGGCCCAAATCCAACTGCTCTGGTATCATACACACAAGTACTTTGAGGTATGCATGGAACTCGGCAAGAACAGGTGTTCATTTGTTCATTCAGAACCGGAGTATAGTATTCCTGCACGTATTGAGGGTTTTCTAGACATTGGAGGTTGGATACTGTGTATATGGGGAACCATATACATTTAGTGGTAAGTTGGCTCCTTATGCCTTTTCCAAAAGGAAGACAGTTCCCAACAAAAGTACCCAACAACTATATGGGAGAGGAAAATGACGGTGGTTTTTGTTTTTTTTTTTTACTTAGTTCTGCCTACCTGCCATAGGTGAAAATCCGGACACAAAAGTTGTTGGGGGGGGGAGTAGTTGAGCTGTTTTTGTTTTGTTTTTGCAAAATCACCCCAAAAAAATTTTTTTGGGGGGGAAATTTGCCCAAAAAACAATATTTCCAATAGGGGCCGGATCCAAAACTGAAGACCAGGAAGGAAAAAGTAAGAATAAATGGGCAGTCTTGGAGACAAGTTATGTAAGCGCTGTGATTTCACCCAAGGATCAGTACCTCTGCTTTCTTGACTTCTTCATAAATGACCAGCCAAAGGCTGATGATAATTCCAAATTGTTCAGGGTGGTAGGAACAAAAAGGGATTATAAAGAGCTCCGGAATGATATCTCCAAACTGGGTAAATGGGTATTAAAATGCCAATTGAGATTCAGTGTAAGAAAATGTAAAATAATACACATTGGTCATGAAGGTGCTGCCTGTTCTACCTAAACAAACCATGGGACCAGGTAAGATGAGGCAGTCTCATGGAGCTCACATATATGCTTGACACTATCTTAACTTTTTGCTTGAGAGACGAACATTTTGCAGGCCACACTTCCTAATAATTTTATGGAGCTTCTTTTTTATTTTTAAGGCTCTTTATGTAATCAAGAGTATTCTGCTGAACATATTAGGTTTTAAGTACTTGATGAAGCCCATCTATTATAACTGACTTCAAAAGTAAAGAAAAGAATGTACTATGATAAATGCATACTGGCTGTATTAACATACTTCCCACCATCCCTCCCAATCAAGCTACATTTACCAGACCAGAAGTAAGTGTGGGAATTACAAGGCTAATAGCAGTGTTGTTGAGAAATGACATTTTCCTTAACAAGTAAGAAAAGACAAGAAAACCACTTCTTGCTATTCTGAAAAGGTGTACTTCTGAAACCCACTCTTATATACTGCATTAGGAGATTTTGGGGCTAACTTGAAGAAGAAAAGCAAATATTACAATAAATGCATGCTAGTAGGATTAACATATCCACTGCCCCCTGGTTAAGCTACATTTACAAGAAGAGAAATAATCATGGGCTTGCAAGGATAATGAAAGTGTTGGTGAGAAAAAGGCCATTTATCTCAACAACTAAGAAAAGAAGAAAAGGCTACTTTTTGCTATTCTAAAAAGGTGTTTTTCTGACAGACATTCCCTTGTATAACCCATTTATCATCTTTGGGGTGTATTGGGTGAAAATGGGACTATACTCCCCATCTCCATTACCAGATGGTTTTGCGTAAAAGCAAAACTTCTCAATCATGCCCCTTTCACTCATCAGAAACATGCTACCGGCAGAATTTCACTTCCAGCGACAGAGAAGGGCACGTGTAAAGTATTCCAAGAATTGTATATACAGTGTGTGTGTGTGTGTGTGTGTGTGTGTGTGTATCTCACATCATTGACTCTGGCTGTGCTAATCAATAAAACAATGAGCAGGGTGGTGATACAATGACTACTGCAATCAACACAGGACAATATCACCAAGGCAACTATCTGTAAACAAACAATAAACGTCCATAAAAATGGCAAAAGTACTCCCCCCCCAAAAAATAGGTTTTATCTTAAACAATAGCACAGTAAATAAAGAGTTCACTTTATACAGGGTGAGTCTTTTAAAACATGTGTACTCTGTATCCATGGTGCCTCTTTTAAAGGACTCACCCTGTATATCAGTGCTCATTTCTTCTTTTTCCAAAAAAGATGTTATCTTTAACAATTGCAAACGCAGTAATAAAGAGCTCACTTGTGATATACCAGTGGTTCAATGCTCAGATGGTGTTCCAGTAATCTGACCTTTCATTGCTAAAGAGCTTAGTCATTGAGCTTTGTAGTTAATAATATACGAGAGAAGACAGTATGTAAACATCTTAAAGCAGCGGTATATCTGTCCCCATCTGCATGTTTCCATTGGGAGGAACATAGAAAGAGGAAAATGTCCTTCAGTTTGTTAAACCTCCTTGGAACAGCGTCTGAGTACTTAACCCCTGGCATAACACAAGTGGACTCTTTATTACTGCATTTGCAATTGTTCAAGATAAAATCTGTTTTGGAAAGAGGAGAAATGAGCACTGAACCATTGACATATGACAAGTGAAGTCTTTATTTACTGCTTGCTAATCAATGGCAGGTAAGGATGAGGAACAAATTCAACTTAGTTCTCATTCAAAGGTGGCTATCCTGAATTTGCACTTTCTGAAACAATTTGAGAACCTCAGCACATCCACTTTTTGAAATTTGCACTTTTCTGAATATTGCAATGCAGCTTTCCATCCATGCAATGTGCTGCAAGAAAAGCATGTAAATAGCATACAGTGGATGTGACACTTCCTTGTGCACAGTTAAAAGAGAGAGACTTCTGCACTCTCTCACCAAATCTCTCCATCCAGTGAAACAACAGATGCTATAATACCGTAGTTCGTAGAATCATAGAATTGTAGAGTTGGTACCCCAAGGATTATCTAGTCCAACAACCTGCAAAGCAGAAAACTCAGCTAATGCATCCATGGCAGATAACCATCAAACCTCTCCTCAAAAACATCCAAGGAAGGACAGCCGATATTTCATGTTTCATCCAGGCAAGAACACTCAAGAAGGATGTGTAACGGGGCCAATGGAGGAGAGAAGCATGAGCTCGTGAGAGTCCCCAGGACTAGAGGTTTTGCATTTGGTCCCTGGGCCTGAGGTTCCCCACCCCAGGAGACAGTGGAGGCCTTTGGACCCTCAAATTTCAGTGGCGCCCTTTGGAATGTTAAGATTTGGCTCATCGTGTCTCTCGTGCTCCCTTGTTTTTGTTCCCCCTGCAGCGTGGCACAGGGTTACCACACCAGTTGTGCCACCCTAAAACTGCCTCTGCAGAAAAAGAGGAAAGGTGTGGCGCATTGTTACCTGTCCCATATGATAACAACTGTAGTTGTAGCATGTTTTTTAACACTAGAGAACATTGGAGAGCACTATGTTTCCTGCTGCAGTTTTGTTGTCACATTTCGAGCCGTTATAGTTCGTAAAGGGGTTTGCTGAAGTACCTCTAACACAGAAGACCAGGAAAGGCTGTGTCTTTATATGGCGTCAAAGAGCAAAGCAAAGTAGTGGAGCAAACTGTTTGCTGAAAGTCTCAGTGGACAAAGACTTGGCTGCCTAAGGACTTTGGTATATCAAGACTTCTGTGAGCATTTGAAAAGTCAATATGTTGGATCAATAGCTGCCTATCATATTAGCAGCAGAACTGAAACACATTACACTAGTTGGTTATGCTTTTGTTTCTGGAAGATCTGCTCTGCTGGCAAGCTTTCCACTTCATGGTAGCTCCAAGACAACACAAGTCGCTACTACGGAAACATAACAGCAGA